GCGCCCTTATTTACTCATGTGTTGATTGCCTGAGGAATGTCCTACAAGTCCATCACCCTTGCTACCGTGTTCACACTGTTGATACAAATTTTCAACGCTACAAATTTTTTGTCGCAGGACTTATTTGCCAACCTAATAGTAACTACCTTCCAAAGAGAGCCAAAAAACGTGGAGGATCCAATCCTCTTATGTGAGGCTGGTCTACAAAGATAAGGCTTTGTATTTTTATCCTCTAGCTACAATATCCTCTAAAAAACCGTCTCGGGAAAACCCTTAGAGACTTTGTTTCAAGCTTCATAAAGAGTTGGACGACTAGAAAATCTTGTTGTTGACGTATTAGCAGCAAAATTCCTGATCAGAGATGAACTTACCAAATTTATCATAGAGAGGAAGAGTGACGAAGCATAAAATCAAAGAGATAGTCTGGTTCGACGAAATGGCTAGAGATTGACATAGTGCCCTGAACTGCAGCGGCACCAATTCTGCCGTAATGAACCACGATATCGGGCCCAAGGCGAAGCTAAAAACTTCTGAGTGGCCTCTCCTATAATGTCAATAGGTTGAACATCCGACCTGTAGCTTACACCGTGGAGTACAACAGCAACTATGCATCCGTATTTCCACACATCCCATATATTCTGAAACTGAGCAGAGAGAACGAACATCGAAAGAGCTGACATGTTCATGAAACCGCAACCAAGCAGTAAGTAACGCCGTGAACAATGTTCAACGACTAGCATACCAACAGTTGTTGATATACAGCTGAAACAACAACTTTATCAGAGGTATATCGTATATTTTATAGAGTTTCAAAAACGAAATCATTATGAAAGCTCACTGTTCTGATCATTCTTACGTCTAAAAGTAAGAAGTGTTTCAAAGGAGCCTCCTGTCCTATGGAAGAGGAGTCACCTCCTGCAGTTATACTGTTTAAGAAATGGAGACTGTCCAAAGTTTTACACGTATGCATGTACTGAGTCAGTTTTTTTTTTCGCGATGAACGATGAAAGGCTCTGCTGGCTTCTTCAGAGTCGATCTCATCTATGAACTGAACCCCACTGATCAAACTTTGCCTAATCACACGCAAGAGAACAGTGAAGGTCTACTTCCTCAAACTACTTGGAAAAGCTGGTTCCAAATTGGTGACCGAACCTCACGAAAAGCATCACAGTAGAGGTTAGCTCAGCGAGCTCAGCATCGATATTTTCTCTGATCAAGAAATCTGTTGAATAATATATCACGGGCCATATTGATGTGGTAGCTTGTAGTGCAACGATTCCTGAAAAAAAAATTACATTCCAGTCATAGAGTAAGAAGAGGGTTTACATATGATTCAAATGAGCCGGACCATTTTGTTGTGTGAAATGGGCAGAAGGATATAAAACCAATGAGTGGTTGCTTCAGTCGCATACGGCAATTCTTATCAATGAAAACAATTACGGCTTTCCATGAAAAAAAGGAAAGGGCCAAGACAAAGTTGAAATTTATTGAAAGAAGCTTTTATCTTCAGGGCGGATAAAGTAGACAATAATGCTGCAATTTGTGGTAAAACACAGTAATCAAAAGCAGCTACCCTCGTGAGAATGCTTCTATGGCGACGAGAACTGCTTTCCAGTTGACGCTTCACTGCTCCATCCGTCCTTCAACTAATGAAGAAGAGATCTTTGTTTATCAGCCGTAAATTTTGAAGGTCAGAGGAGCGGGCATGTCGGAAACCCAGTGAACCATACAGATGACAAAACCAACCCAAAATCAGACCAGACCGCACGTGCTTTGTGTTGAGTAACTCTTTTACAGATCCATTTGACTTGGGAGTTTCCTTTTCGTATGCCATAAGTACTTTTGCAGTATCCTGCCCGTCTTAAAAGAAAATTTATCATTACTTCAACAAAAGTGGACCATGTGCAAGCATTTTAAATAAGAGGTCACGGAGAGGGATCAACCCCCAAAGGGATATCACTGTTATGTCCCAGGCAAATCAATGGTATAATCCTTTCAAAATTCACCTTTGAGGTATGTATAACTTACTGGTGCCATGATAGAACTCAACGGACTTCTCGGCTTTTCTTCTTTCACTCCTTTCTAGGAGAAGAAATTGTGGAGAATCAGGAAAATGTAGAGCCAGCAAAATCGAAAATAATGTTGGGAAGCATGTCACACTGCAATTGATGTGATTGTAGCTGAATTGTTTCATGTATGTTTTTAAAAGTCGAAACTGCAAAAACGTTCCCAAACGAACCCGATTAACCAGGAGAGTTTTGTACCTAACATGCTTCCCATCCCAGCCAATGCGCCGAGCATATTCGTCATAACGAAAGCCATTTCAGCATTGAATGACATTAGTCCACGGAGAAACACAGGAGCTGATTCCTTAACCAGTCATTGCTAAGTGAGCACGAACAAGAAATGCAACGCAGTGCCTTGCACAGTCTCTTCTTCAATTCACATAGCGAGAAAGGCAGCTGCCTTTTTCCTGGTCTCACGAGTTTTGTATTGACAGAGGCAGCAAAGGTTACCAACTTCTCATCGCATTTATATGACTAATTAAATCGGAACAAAGAATGCTTTGCCCATTGTCCCTCAACCGAGGACGATCCACTGGTCTACAATGGCTCGCGACAGGGACGTATGGAGACGTTACTAGAGCTCGCACGAGAAAATGGACGGGTGAAACCGGTGAAACAGACTGACATTCGTCGTTTGGGGACAATTATACTTTTCTTGACCACCGGCTCCAGGCTCCAGGCGACCTTTTATCTTGGCGTCTGAAACTCGTTCAAGCTGCTCTTCATTTCTACTAACTACACGAGCCGTGGAGAATCTTGTGTGCTAGACAGCTTTGGACCTTCTCAAAATAACCATTAGTGTTCAAGTAGCCTAAAATGTCGTTCCGATATTGGGACATTATTTGTATTCCCCAAAACTTTCTATTTCCTTATCATATTAGATTACAACAAATCGAAAACTGCGAATTAAAAAAAAGCAGTATCGGTAAATTGTACCTGTAGCAGTAGAACTAAACTGTTCATCGAAATGGCAGCACCTATGGCAAAGATGATTCTACTGGTAAGGAATAACGATGGAAGGAGCCATATTATCGATACCGTTGATAAAACAGCAGCCACGAAATTCGTAGTATTTCCGCACACGAGGCACCCTATCGAGTAAATAGCACAATATGACACATGATAAAAGCTTTTGCGACCTTTGAATTCGTTACAGTTTCTTTGTACTTATTCTATTGTATCGTGGCGAGCAGACGCCATGCAGAAAATCGAGTGGAGGGGACGAAATCCAGCCTTACCCCATCCTCACGATCTTTTCGGACTTCATGAGTCAGTAACTGTATCTTGGTATGAATCACAAGATCGAAAATTCGCTGGTTCTTACAAGTCGAAACAACTGTATTCGCCAAGTGAATACATAGCTAACCGTTTGATTTATGACTTTAAGCGAAAGAAAAGATAATACGTCACACATCCACCATCGCTCGAAATGCTCGTTACCTGAACGATTTCAAAAAAAAAAGTTTTTTTCGGATAAAAACTGATGGGCCGACGTCGGATTTCGGTTCCTTCATTAAATACAATTTCGTGGATAACGCATACTCACATTTACGACCGATGCGATCAGCTAGCGGTATAGCAATGGCGCTTCCAATAATAAAGCCAACAAAGTAAATGTTAAGGATGGCTGACCTGTGATTAGGTATTAAATTTTGAAAAAATTCTACAACATCAAGCTATTGCTCAGTAAATAACCCGCAATGATGAACGCACCATATCCAAGTGAATGATGTTCCAGTTAGTGATCCACCTTCTGATTCATTTATGTACTTCCGAAAAGTGTTTACAGCGGTATTCGGATAGGCATTTGCATATCCCATCTACAACAAGCACAGCTCTATACGCGAAATTAAAATAGAAGACTTGCAGGCGTTCATTACGGCGTCTTTCTATATAGCAGTGCTCTCGGAAAAATAATATGTAAAGCTGACCTGGAATATGGAGGAAAGCGCCAATATGGCGCTCATAAACAACAAACAGACGATTTGCTTTGAAAACATTGTCCTGTACCGTCCAGACCGCTACCTTGAAAATAACCTATTCGAGTTGTTAAGAAGTGGTTGCGAATTTTGAGAACCTTTTTATGAAGCTTGTTTTAGAAGCTTTCCGGAAGTTTACACGTCTTCTACTTGGTTTTATTACAGGTGTATGTTTGTACTTTAAAAAAAATAGAACGAATTTCGTTCCCACCTGTACCTATTTTAGGATTACTTTGAGCACAGAGTTTCGGATGAAACATTATCAGCTCATTCTGCCTTTTTATTTCCATCGTGAGGAAGGGCCGCTGATGTTTCACGACATTTGTAAAACAAAAGTTGACAATGTTTGACTGCTGTGCACATGTAAAGACTGGTTCACAAACAATTGTTGCGAGCGGGGAAGACCAACGCATACATGGAATATCCGACCATAGTTTACAGAAATAACGAAACTCTGGACTAATGAAAAGGCCAGATGTCTAACTGGTAAGTGCCTTATGAGTGAGAAGATATCCACTTGACGAGGCAGAATAGTGTGGGCGACTTGCGCTTCAAACACCCGATTCGTTTTTAAAGCGAGTAGTGGCTGATCATAACAGTCCGATATTCGTTTATTTAGTTATTTATTTGGTGCACGCTTAGGTGCGCGAACTACAATTCCATGATATATTAATTCAACAACCTACAATCGAATGAAAGTAAAACATGGTTCAAAACAAAAGGTAATAAAAGGTAATAAGATCTCCAGTTAGGGGAGTACTTGTATTTGGTGTACAATATTTGCGATAATGTTACTTCCTAATGGCCACGGACAACACCGGAAGAACCTGCCCAAACGAGGTCCAAAGTTGATCTTCATAAGAAGAAGGTCGCGTCATCAGTTTGATGGGATCCCAAGGGCGTAATATAGCTTGAAATATTTTTAAAGAACCAGAATCCTAGGTTGGACCTTTACTCATTGGAGCATGGTAAAGCAGCCTGAATCCCCCAAATATTGCGGATCACAAAGGATAGTGTTGAAATAAGACAAGACAAGACCGCATAAAATTTCGGTGGATCGACAAAAATTATTCAAGCCTGTTCGAAAGTTAATGCTGCATCCACCATATAGCCCTGATGCTGCGGCTTATGAATACAATTGTAGGACTTTTAATTCGCTCGTTGCAGAACTCCTTATTGTTAAATAAGGAAGCCTTCAACGGAGATGAGGATACCAAACCTTATGTAGTCTAGCTTTCTGCCGGAAACCAGAAGGAGGGCAAAAGATATTCGAACAAAACGAAGTATAGATCATCGATTACGGTCATCTCATTGAAAGAAAAAATTTTGTTCAGAACATTTCGTTTTTGTTTCTGTATTTTATTAAGAAATTGTTAGAAACTCCAGTTACTTTTCGAATAAAAGATAAAATTCAAGCGTTTTTTTTTGTTGCTGGACGATTTCCTCGTGCTTGAGAATCATTACAATTACAATAGTTTGGAACTTTCAATATCGGATGCTCGAAATGATTCGAAAGACACAAGAAAAATGTTACTGAAAACCACTGTTGGACGGAACAAAGATGGTTACAGAATAGAGAAAATAAATTATGTCAAAATACGGGATCTGCACCACAGGCATGCTGGAGGGGCTGTATATAAAATTCAAGCAGAGTTTAAGTAGAAATGTGCTCAAAAAACTACGAAGTGATAATGCAGAACTACCATTTGGGGTAATGATAGTAGCGAATGTAGTGGCTTTCGAAGCACCAGGTGCAATACCATAGGGCTCGGATCATCCAATAATTAGAATTGAAATTTCAGGATGATATGATGTTTCGGAATGAAAAATCGTGAATGTAATGGTATAGAACGATGTGGCACCTGAATATAACAAAGGCTNCTAAAACCATCATGAAACCTTTAAACTAGCGGCATTTCTGAGCCGTCTTGATATTTCATTTCTGAATACGGAAAAATTTAGATAATTTAAACTTCTATTGAGCAGCTTGAACTATTTTTGCAACAAATTTCAATTCGGGCACTGCTAGAGCTGCCCAAGGATATAATGGTAGCATATAGATTATACATCAGAATGAAAAAAATATAATTCAAAAAAAATAAATAAATAACCGAAAAAAGATTCACAAATACGACTTGAAAATTAAACATATCAATAAGAGGAAGGGCATAAACTCTTTACATATCCGCACCATAAATGCAGAACTTGGGGTCATTCCAATGGTCACGTTACAGCGGAAAAATCAATAAAGTGCTTTCACTCGAGCTGGCTGCAAACGGGACGCCAGATTTCCTTCTCTCGTTCATTACGAGGAAGGCATCGCGCAATGCTGGAAACAAAGTGGAGTCGTCCTCTATCTGGATAAGAGTACCCTTCTATACTTGACAACCTCTAGCGAGCTTTGAACAACACATCGTCACAAAAGCAATTGTCACACGATCCACTCAAGCGTCTGGTTTGTAGTGTATATAACGTAGAGGAAAGTTGGGTATCAGAGAAATTTACCGAACTACTCTATGGTGTGAATGGAACAATTGAGACGCTGCTGTACTAAAGATCAAATCGTTGAAGTATAACCTAAACGGGCAATAACACAAAACATCCGAGTACTTCGCTTTTTTGTCAGATCCACTTTCAAATATTGTGCGGCTGTACGCCAACTGTTGTGATAATCTAAGATTTCAATCATTTTTACATACAATATCAACATAATATTTTAGCCATAACTTGCAGTCCTCGTGAGAATATCAATATGTGTACGTGGGAGACATTAGAGATTTCCGAAGTAAATGATTATATAATAATAATAACATTTGGGCTACGCAGATCAACGCGCGCGTCACATAACTCGCTTAAACAGCTTATCTACAATGATTTGATTAATGTAACGTTTGATGTTTTAGTTTAGAAAACTGAATGCACTGCGACCGCATTCCAGGCAGGTATCCCCCTCGACTAGTGCCACGTTTTTCTGGAGGTTTGATTTCCTTGTGGCAGAATTAGCCTAGTTGTTAGCGATAAAAACCAATATCGTTGTATATTGATTTGTCGACAACAACCCATGTCAGTGTGGAACTGTTACAATCCTACCTTTTCCTGAAGGCTTTAGCGCCCTATGATTGTAGAAAATCGAATTAGTTCCATCCTACGACTAGAACGACGCAAGTCATGATTACCGGCTAACGACGTCATGAGTTGATACAATTGAATGAGGGCACTTTCCTCACCACGCCTACGTGACATCTCGCACTCCTCATCGCGCTCACCTTCTCCGGATGACAAACAAAACGAGATACAGACAGACACACAAGGTTAGTGGTTATAGAGAGGATTTTTTAATAATATTGTATAATATTACAAAAGGTTACAGAAATTCAAAGGTCTATTCAACTCCACCTATAATATTAGTAACAGCTTGCGCCTGAGCAACGGATTCTACCCTTCAGCCGAAACGATGCAGCAATAGCATCGTCCCATGTCTGTATTTTATCAAGAAAACCTTACGATTACTTACTTCCTTATTACTTAAACATTCAGCAGATTTTATTGTTTGAACAATTGCGTCTTGACGCGATAGGAATTATAATGAATAAATTTCATGCGCGATCTTAGAAGACTACAAGTAAGGTAACATTGTGTAATGATGAAAAAAATCCGTTTACCACTATTCAGCTTGGTGGACGTGATTATGAAGCAGCTACAACTCTACTATACTTCCAAGCAGAAGCGAGCTTGCGTTGAGCTTTCAGCTAAGATCCTTGTGAGCTTCGAGCGGTTCTGTACACCATTATGTGATACCCAGTACATGTTTTCGATAAAACTTGTCACTTAATGGTACATCGATTGTTTCACATTGTATCATTAGATGATATCTGAAGTCGTCGACTCAGCCTATCACTACATAGATATAGTAGATTCCCTTGCTTGTAGGGTGAGCAGTTCTCGAGCCAATAAACCGGACCTCAACTTGCCTGGATCACCTGTGCTTTGTGTACACCTTGCTAGGAATCACTGAATTCAATAGTTTCTTCTTTTTTACCAATATCAAATTGATTAATAACTGATGTAAACTACCAATAACATGCAGCATGATACAATACAAAGGTATGGATATAAATTCAGTAAGCACCGGATGACATATACGTTCAACATAATGCACACAAGATGTTTATGGAAAGAAATTTTAATTTTATCCACTCTCCTTTCTGATATAAAACACAAGATGTTGTAGCGTGATAACCTTCAAATATATAGCTTGTTATAAGCACATTAACTTATACATTAAATACGAACCTTCGATGCGAGCTGATTGAGATATTCGCCTGTAGCAGCGACGTTAGCAAGTAACTTGTTCCCTTCCAAGAAATACGTTTTTCGGTTTCTTGCAGCCTCCGGAAAAAAAGCATCAGTAAGAAAAGCGCTGACAGAAAACTACTTTTTTCAAGAAGGAATCCTTAGTTAATGGGGAAGTGTATCTCATCCAGTTACGGTACCGGCCAGTGAAGAATGCGTTTGCGTAACTTCCGCAAATATCAACCTCTCTGCGGGGAACCCAAACAGTAGGTAAATTGAACAGTTAGTAACATTTTACTTGTGCAACGGGCTAGCAGACACTTCCAACCGAAACTAGCGCTTCATTTCCCAACAGCCCCCCAACGGACAGTTTCATCTTCAATGTTAAGGATTTCGAGGTGATTCTCGCTCCTTTGTGTCACGTCATGCGCTTAGTATAATACATCAGTAAGGCTCTTTCAAGGCATTCGAGAATCGGTAAGTTACGGCAAGATTAAGTTGACGCCGTCATTCGAAGCTTCCAGGAAGCTTTAGCATCAAGGCGAGTTTCCGAAATTCAAGGGGTACAATCATGCACGCAAAAATGGGTAATCCAGCAGTGGCTTAAGGCCATCTGAAGTGACGAACCAAAGTTTTTGCTGTCCAGCATGGATGTAATCAAGTTTGTGTGACGTTCAATCGGCACCATATGCCAT